ACGCACCACACCACTAGCACCGGCCGGTTCACGTAGGCCATGGTACACCGGGGACGGTGTTCTTCAAAAAGGAGGCCAGTGTAGTATATGGTGTTCGTCAGTTTGATTGATTCATATGTAAGTATTGGTGAGGTACAAACCTTGCTTACTGGGCTTTGGCTCATGAGTTTTATTTCTGTTTTCTATCCTCAGAAATTGTCGTGAACACCTGTCTTCCGAGAATTGCTGTCCCCTGGTGCTTCCATAGCGGGCATATTACAAATACGGAAGCATCCGTCGAGACTTTCGGAGTGATGTCGTCCTGCTATTCGGCGGCTTCCGTTCACCCGAAGGTCTAAACCTAGAGGGCACCGCCATTGCACCCGCGCGAGGAATCCCATAAAATCCCGCCTATATTTCTAATTGGCCCTAATCATGGGAGAAATTTGGAGCCAGGACACTCCACGCACAACTATCAAAATCATGGAAAACACATGAACATTGTCGCTTTAGAAAGCCCTGTGTGTTCACGTCGAACGCTACTTGTAAGTAGCGTAAATAAGTAAGGTAAAACGTATCGGCCAAAACTCACCAGAAAAAAAGTATTCACTGGTCCACGGATTGATACACTGGATCGAGATTTTTGCCCAAGTTTCCCGGGTCTATTTCCTACTTGCCGGTCAGTGACTGTCACCGTCGTAGGAGTTCACTCCACGCAGCTACTACCTAAAATAAGAAAAAGATTTCTCCAATGAATGTGCTCGCTCTAAACTTGAAAATATTTTTACTAGGTCCCCGCCGTGTGTTTGCTGGGTCAACGGTGAAAACTCTGTTTGCCAAGCTTTGTTCAAACAGGGCAAAAGCAAGAATAAGTCCCCTCGGAGGCGATGGTACTCCAGGGGAAAGAGATCAAACATCGCGAGACGCGTTTCGTAGCCCACGGATTTGAGGCCGGCAACCATTCTCGTGGAGGCTTGCTGGACGCGCTCATTGAGGGTGAGGTCTTTCATGTTTCCTGAGTAGATAACTTGATTGTGAGCGGTTTCTATGTGAGACGTTGGACACATTGGCGAGTGCGTTTCACCAGTCACTCGACGAGGGCGACTTTTCCCCACATTGAAAGAAAATGGTCGGCGTTTTCCAGGAGCGG